CTCCGGCGTAAAACTAAACTCACTCACTCACTCTCACGCTGATGCAAGTGAACTTGTAATTTCACAGCAATAAAGGTACTTTAGTAGTTTGTATTAGTATCCATTACACTGTTACACTCGGGCTGTTGCAAATGAATAGTGAATCGAGAGCAGGTATATATACTGGAAATACACCTGACAGCTCGATAAAGGTCACATATGAAGTTTTACATCCATGCAAGCTCCACAAGACAGAACTGATTGGCAAAAGCGCATTACTCTTCGGGAATTGCAAAGCCGGCGAGTATGCAGTGTTGAACGATTTTACTAGCGCTTCCTTCAGCTAGACCAGAGTTACCCCCCTTAGACCACAGCTACAACTTTTACCATGACCCGGAACGCTCATTCATTGACAATCTTTAAAAGCTGCCTAAAGACATACCCCTTACAAAAGACTGAATTTCAATGAAGATATAACACCTCTACTGCACTGTATTTTAATTTTGTGTAACGCTCTGGGTTTTTGGCACATAACACCTGTGCCATTCGTCGGAAAGAATCACATGTTTATGCTCTCATCATGAACAGAAAATGATCAGCAAACGTTTGAGATATATAATTTCTTTCGTTTGAGGAACGAATAAGATTGAAATTATTTTCTCCTTGCGTAGGAAAGTACTACTTGTTGATGTAAGAATGTCCGCTAGATGGCTCTGTTATGGGTTTATAAGGAAAGGCGGGAGTTCGAAGTGCATTCTCAGTTGCGGTGCGCTCGAGTCTAGTATTAACCTATCAGTTATAACATGGATCAAAACAAACCTATCTCTGACAAGCTAGACGAGATTTGGTTGAAGTTGGACCAATCTAAAGCAGAAATTGCTAAGTCTGTGGAAAATAGATTGGAGAGTTTTCGTGGCGAATTTCTAAAGACGTCTAAAGAACTCACGAAGTTGAAGGCTGCTAAGGACATAGTTTGGAAAAAAGAAGGTAATAAAATTCAACATAGTTTCAATTCTGAGACTTTGGATAACTTGGAGCAGATTAAGTTTGCTCTTGAATACAATAAGTTGGATTACGCCTCAGATCTGGTAGATACAGAAGTACTACGTATTCAGCAGCGTAATAAACTGATAAGGATTGCCGACACTTCTGATGGTGGATGGGAAACTGAAAAATTATGTTTCCCGAGATCTTGCATCTGACTCAGACGACGACAAGCGAATTTCAAGGGCTGAGAGTAAAGCTGTTCGGAAATTCAAGGCAAGGAATGCGCGTTTCACACGGAGTCCCTACAGCAGGCCTCGAGGTGGTCGTGCAGCTTCTGCTACTGTTACTTCTGCTGAATCTGTACCTAGCGTCAATCAGCCCTTTCGGAGGAGTTCTTCCAGCGGGGCATGTTTCTCGTGTGGAAGCTTTGAACACTGGCGACGTCATTGTCCCTTTACAAGCGGACAGCAGCAATCATCCACAGCGGGACGCACTTCAGGGAGTGGAGGACAATACTAGTGAGCACACCAAAGTTAAGTATGGTGTTTTTGATGAAGTAGGTCAGATCGCGCTGACTCATGATTATTTTGAATACGAGCAGGGCCATGCCGAAATCATAGTGAAGAATAGATTAAAGGACAGTGTACAATTTTGGAGAAATATAGGTTGCTCATACTTTGTGCTTGACATTCTAGAAAATGGTTACAAGATTCCCTTTTATTCTACTCCACCTGATATGGATTTAAACAACAATAAGTCAGCAATAATGCATAAAGATTTTGTAGCGGGGGGCTATAGCTGATTTGGTACGAAAAGGTTTGGTTGTTGAATGCTCTCAAAAACCTACAGTCGTAAACCCCCTCTCTGTTTCCGTTCAGTCTTCAGGTAAAAAGAGATTGATCCTGGATCTCTCGGTGGTGAATACACATATATGGAAGGAATCGGTCAAATATGAAGACTGGAGGACAGCTTTGTTATATATACAGAAAAATGATTGGATTGTTAAATTCGATATTCATTCTGCCTACCATCATTTAGATATACTTGAAGATCATACTCAGTTTTTTGGGATTTGCATGGAAGGAAGGCACGGTTAGAAAGTTTTATAAGTTTCTTGTACTACCTTTTGGGTTGTCCTCAGCACCATATGTATTTACAAAGGTAATTCGGCAGTTAGTAAAGCATTGGAGGAGTAAGGGTTATAACATCGTTACCTTCTTAGATGATGGCCTCCTTGCCTGTGACTCTAAATACAATACCGCAGATGTTGCGAATATTGTAAAGCAGGATATCATTTCTTCGGGCTTCGTGCCTAAGGTAGAAAAATCACTGTGGGAGCCGTGCCAATGTTTAGAATGGTTGGGGCTTATCATTGATACACGTTTAATGGCTTTGTCTATACCACAGAGGAAAGTGGACAAACTTATGCAGTGTGTTAAAGGATTGTTGTCGGTTAACGGGACTGTACCAGTTAGAAAAGTTGCTTCTGTAGTGGGGCAGATAATAAGCATGAGTATTGTGCTCGGATCTGTTGCTCAGCTTATGACGAGGTCGTTGTCCATGCAAACTGTTGATATTGTATCATGGAATGACAGTGTACTTCTCTCTGAACTAAGCATCCAACAGCTTCAGTTTTGGTTAAGCAACATAAGCAACTATACTGAGAAGTGTTTGATAGAGCAGAATACTGTTACACGGGTTGTATATAGTGATGCAAGTAATGTCGGGTATGGTGGATACTGTGTTCAATTTGGTGACGTTCAGTCACATGGTCAGTGGTCTCCTGATGAGGCTAAAGCGAGCTCTACCTATCGAGAGATAAAGGCTGTGTATATGGTTATGCAGAGTATTGTGTCCAAGTTGAAATCGCAGAGAGTCAAATGGTTTACCGACAACAAGAATGTTGACATTATTGTATCCAAAGGATCTATGAAAAAGCATTTGCAGAACATTGCTTTGAAGATATTCCACTTGTGTATTGAATGCCAGATTCACTTAGAAATGCAGTGGTTACCTCGCTCTGAGAACGAGAGAGCTGATTACCTCAGTAAAATCATAGACACAGACGGTTGGGGTATAGCTGACTATGTTTTTCAACACCTTAGTTCCATGTGGGGCCCATATGAGGTAGACCTGTTTGCTTCATATTATAACAACAAAGTCGCCAGGTTTTATTCAAGGTTTTGGAATCCGGGTTCACGAGGAGTCGATGCATTTACTATGAGCTGGACGGAAGGAAATAACTGGATAGTACCGCCAGTGTATTTAGTGGCCAGGGTGTTAAAACATTTGGCTAGAGGCCACTGTAAAGCCACATTGATAGTACCTCAATGGTATTCTGCAAACTTTTGGCCTTTATTGTGTCCCGGGGGTTCGTTCATTTCACAAGTGAAGGACATTGTGTATTTACCCACTTGTAAAGAGGCATATGTGCCGAGTAGACAAGGAAATGGTTTGTTTGGTATGAGCAATTTAAATTTCCAAATGTTGGCGCTTTGTGTTCAATATTGAATTTTGTGTTTACAGATGTATTTTTGCACACGTGTTTTCCGAGGAGATAGGGACGCTACCCCCGAGTGTGAGACAGCTAGCTGGAGATGTGCCGGTTCTTTTGTCTCATGCTAGAGCGTCGTCCACGTGCAAAAAAGTACGAGTATGGATTCCGTGCATGGAAAGAATGGGCGATTACTAACGGTATGCCAACCGTGTTACCGTTAAGTCCCTTGCATAGTGCTGTATATCTTTTATCCGTGATACAAAGATCAGAATCTTATTCGCCGGTGCAAAATGCCTTTTATAGCATTAGGCACTTTCATAATATTATTGGGCTATCGTCTCCTACTGATAATGCCCTAGTTGTTAATGTACTAGAAGCAGCCAAGCGAAAATTATCGAAACCCGTGAAGAAGGAGCCTATCACGTTAGAATTGCTTGAAAAGATGTTTGATGATAAAATGCGTGAGCCTAGTGTATATAATTTGAGAACTGTATCTATGTGTCTTCTTGCTTTTGCTGGTTTCTTACGTTCCTCTGAATTACTGAATGTGAAATATGACGATCTCATCTTCTATGATGCTTATATGACAGTTTTCATCGAGAGTTCAAAAACAGATGTGTATCGGGATGGAGCCTGGCTGGTTATTGGTAGAACCAATACAAAAATGTGTCCTGTAAAGTGCTTGGAAAGGTATTTGGAAATATCTTCATTTTGCAAAAACGCTGACTCTGATTCCTTTGTGTTTAGGAATATGTGCAAAACAAAAGAAAATTATTGTTTTAGATCAGATAACAAATCAATGTCATATACTCGGCTACGAGAAGTGTTTATTGAGGCCTTTAAACCATATGTGTCTGACATTAAATGCTATGGTTTGCACAGTTTGAGATCAGGTGGGGCGAGTGTTGCTGCAAATCGGGGAATTCCTGATAGGCTTTTCAAACGGCATGGACGGTGGAGGAGCGAAGGGGCTAAAGATGGCTATGTAAAGGACAGTGTAGAAAACAGATTGAAAGTGTCTCTTTCTTTGGGTCTTTAAACCCCCGTTCTTTTGGTCTCAAGAGTGCACCGCACATGACATACCATATAACTGTTGTGTTGTTTGTAGTACTGAGTGGAGAGTAGGAGAAATATAATTTCTTTCGTTTGAGGAACGAATAAGATTGAAATTATTTTCTCCTTGCGTAGGAAAGTACTACTTGTTGATGTAAGAATGTCCGCTAGATGGCTCTGTTATGGGTTTATAAGGAAAGGCGGGAGTTCGAAGTGCATTCTCAGTTGCGGTGCGCTCGAGTCTAGTATTAACCTGTGGTCGGTTTATGGTATGTTTTTTATCATCTGAATGAAATGTGTTCATTTGTGTTCAGTGATTTTGCTTTCACTGTTTGATGTTGTGTACAGGCATATTGTACGTGTCAACGAGCCATGTTAATACGTGTGAGAATGTGTATATTGTATGTGCTGATGAGCCATGATAATACGTGTGAGAATATGTATATTGTATGTGCTGATGAGCCATGATAATACGTGTGAGAATATGTATATTGTATGTGCTGACGAGCCATGATAATACGTGTGAGTATTGGCATATTGTGCGTGCTGACGAGCCATGATAATACGTGTGAGTATTGGCATATTGTGCGTGCTGTCGAGCCGTGATAATACGTGTGAGTATTGGCATATTGTGCGTGCTGACGAGCCATGATAATACGTGTGAGTATTGGCATATTGTGAGCGCTGACGAGATAAAACGTCGAGCATTTGTATAAGGTGTGAGCTGATAATACGTGATCCTGTTTGTATATCACACGAATGACAGTGTCATAAGTTGTATATATTACAATGATCATAATGATATGTTGATTGAGTTTGTATGATGTAGAGTTAATGTTGATGGCAATGATGATGATGATGATGATGATGATGGAGTTTAGTGGAAATAAACAAGAGTGCACCGCACATGACATACCATATAACTGTTGTGTTGTTTGTAGTACTGAGTGGAGAGTAGGAGAAACATACTGCAAATTTTCATTGTGCTCTCTAGAGAACCAATAAAGATAGCAACTATACAGTGAGGAAAACAGAATTTCACTTGTCCCTCTGTTGTCTTTGAAAATACACTTAGACATACTATTTGTTACTTCAGTATCGTTTAGCTTGTGTTTAACCCGCTCACGCTGGACAGCTCTCGTCATTGTCAATTGAAATTGACATCGTCTCCCATATATGCACGTGGACCACGCTTTGCAGTGGTAATCTCTTTATAGGAGATATCGTCCTTGCGCTTTCCTTCAGACTGTCGCATGTTTTGCACGGGTAATCTGCCGTGCTGTAAATGTCGATGAAACTTATGATACATTCGGCAATGAACCCTGGGCCGTCGGTGATATAAAGAAGTCCTATTTCGTTAAATCTGCCCAAACTTTGGGGTTTTGAATGTAGGCATTATTTATCATGACTGGTACGTTGTTGGAATACTTTTTGCGTGATGTTTCGCGTGTTCTGCCTGGTGTTGAGGGTCAGGTTGTTTGGCACTCTTTTTCTTTCATTCGGGGCACGTCTCAAACAGTTTTTTCCATTTTAGCTCCCATACGTTTTATCCACATGGATAATGTTGAACAGATGTTTTGATCAGTAACTTTTATGGCGCTCTTCAAAGTTTGAAAGCCGTAGCGCTTGCAGGGTCTTTTGACATAGGACCAAGAACAGAAAATGTTCAACAACCAAAGGCAACTTCAGAACAAGCGTTTAAAGTGTTGTATGTGGTAAGTTTCGTTTGGCACAAAATAGCAAAGTAGCCCGTGAAAGTTTTTGAAGACAACTTTTGCCCAAAAGTAGCGTCCAATATGGCGGCCATCATATAAACATAGGCACATTTGACGATGCTACTGTGTAGAAACATGCATAGACACAAAGTATGCAACGTTTGAAACCCGTAGCCCTTGTAGTTTTAGTGCAGCACATTTTGGGAGGTATGCAGTCAGCATTCTGCTGAAAAACATCACCAAAAACTTCAATTCAACATAGCGGCCAAACGGTGCATTTTAGCGACTTGAGCCGTCCAGGCGAAATTGTAGGCATTTTGATTGCGCATCTGCTCAAGAACTTTGGCACACATTGGAGCATTAGTTACGGAGATATTTGCATTTGAAATTGAAATTTTTGAATTAATTTTGAATTATCTGCCCTTTGCTATTGGGCCTACAGCCTAGAGATTTTAAAGCGCGATATCTACACCTCGGTGGGCATCTGGGTGATTTTTGTCAAGGCATTCTGTCCAGCGGTGCTCTCTGTAGCTCTGTTACAAAATACGGCGGAAGAATAAATAATAATAATAATAATAATAATAATAATAATAAAAACACGAACGATTACAATAGGTCTCCTGCCTAAAGGCAAAGGAGCCCTAACTAGTGAGGAAAGTTAAAAGTATTAGCCTTATGTGGACAATACACTATAAAAACAGGCTATAGATTGCCAACAACTGAAGGTAGATCACCATACTAGGGACCATGGGGACTTACAGTACATTTGCTTCCTGCATGGGCCCTAGCTGGATTTACATCATCTCTTCAGCCCTTAGCAATTTAGACAAATCTAGCCAGACATTAAAAAGACACATATACTACGATTAAAAAGTGGAGAGTTTAAATTTACTTTGAATGTTTTGGGACTTACTATCCTCTCAGGAGGACAATAATTTTACATAACTTTAAGCACACACACACACACACACACACACACACACACCCCCCCCCACCCCCTTGAGGATACAGCCACTCACAATCTGAGTTACTAATTCAAACTTCCAATCATAAAATATTTTTGTATTTACAAATCATTTAACAAATGTAATTCTCTTAAAAATGCAAAATAGTTATCCCTTGTGATAGATTGTTCAACACTGTCAAGCAAGACATGCCTGACTGTGATTATCTCGTCACAAGGGATACAAAACGGAGGATCCTCACCTTTCAATAGGTATTCATGAGTATATCTGGTGTGGCCAATACAACATCGTCGCATGATGACCTCTTCAAATCTGGACTGGAATGACTTGAAAATACTTTTGGATGGACTCAGTCAGTGGTGCCAGGTAAACAAGATTTCTGTCAACCCAGAGAAGACAAAAGTCATTCATTTTAAAAGGCAAGCAGTAGAAGGAACAGATGGGCTAATTCAGTGTGGAGACGAGATCCTAAAGATAGTAGAAAGCTACAGTTATCTCTGCCTACACTTGACAGAGCATATAAACTACACACAGATGGGAAATGCAGTGGCAAGTGCAGCCAGCACGGCACTCATATCAAAGTGTAAAATCCTTGGCGGCATGCAGCAGAGAACTTTCACCAAGCTTTACGACTTCATGGTATGGGCTACTATCTACTACGGTGCTGCAGTATGGGGAACGTATCTTATCCCAGCATAACCGCTGTTCACAACCGAGCTATGAGTTACTATATGGGCGTGAGGATGTTTACGCAGAATGATGATACATCAGATGATATGGAATGGGTGCCATCGGTTGTCCGACAATGGAAGAGTGTTGTTCGATTTTACAAGCGATCATGCGACCAGAACCCGAACAGATTATCTTTTAATGTGTGCAAGTGGGCCCATTCTAAGGCTGTGTCTAGTAAGCGGAATGGGCATCAACGTGTACACAGGAAATTTAGAACTGTAGAACATTTTATCCCTATTGGAAATACTTTGTACATAGGTTTTTTATATCAAAGGTTGAACAGAAAGTGATGCAAAACTATTTACAGGAGTGGAGTGTTGTAGTCAATCAGGAGAACAGTAAGTGGGGAGATGGGAAGAACAAGATGAGACTGTATTGCGAACAGTCCTAAGGAGTTGAACATTATCTACAGAGTGGCCTCCCTTGGTCGTATCGCCTAGCACTAGCCATGTTCGGCTGTAGAGTGCCCCCGTTACGTGTTGAAACGGGTCGATACACCAACATGCCCCTGAACCAATGCTTAATTGTAATGAGTGCGTTGAGGATGAATGTCATGTTTTATTCCAGTGTCCACTTTATTTTGATGTTACAGTCTTTTAGTCAAATGTGAAGAAATATGTTATAATTTTAAATGTTTGAGTGATTGTGACAAGTTTAGTTTTATCATGTCCGACGTTGAAATGTTCTATTTAGCAGCCAAAACCTGCAAAATGTTATTGGAAAAACGGCAAAGTATTTTATATCATGGCGTGTAGTCTGTTTTTCGAATGTGTTGTGTATATTTATCCATTATTGCTTTTAGTACCATTTAGTAATTAATCTGTATTTTACATGTAGTCTCTCGTAACCCTTAATGGGTGGGTCGTAAAGGATATTTTGTTATATTGTCTTGTCTATTGCTTTATGTCGTAAATACGAGGTGAGACTTTAATAAAATATCTGTCTGTCTGTCTGTCCGTTTTCCTCTAAAGACGCGCAATTTACTGAGCACAGCCCCAACCAGCGATGCCTGTCCGACGCAGAGCATTTATCTCACTATAGCGCGCCCGCTGTCTTGCTATGTCGCCGCTGCATCACGCTCCAGGTTAGACAAAGCCAAATGTTATCCCACAGCCTTCTACAGTAATGTTATATACCATTCAAAAATGTAGGGGATATTGGATTTACAAGATTGGTATCATGCAAATGATGAAGTCAAGGAGAAAACAGATGATGAAGAGAAATTATATATGTACATGTATTACTTTTTCTCATATCCATTGACACTAACTAGAGGTATGCTCGCAAAATGGAATATCCCCTACTTTGTTTGAATGGTATATTTTCTTTATAATCCTCCAGGCTGTCAAGAGCCATTCCATGTACACATGGGTGCAGTCTGGCCTTTAAACTACAATAAAAACACAAAGTCCAGATCCAGCTAACTTCGCCTGTCAATTTTCCATGCACAGGAAGTCGAACACAGTCATCAACCCCAGTTCCGCACCAAATGTCACCTACTTGAAAATATCTGTACATCATTAAGTATAAGTCGTGTTGATAAAAATGACGGCATTAAATACTTAAATGTATGGTCGGTTTTATTTACACGTCCTTAGAGGCAAACAACCCTTTCCCTAGGGTGTAGGGTTGGGGTTTAGGATTAGAGTCTGGTACCCTTTCCGAATATCAGGGCTAGGGTTTAGGGTTAGGTACCCTCTCTGATCCTTCGGGTTAGTGTTAGGGTGGGATACCCTTTCCGATCCTAAGAGAAATGCCAATTCGTCGGGTTTAGACCTTGAACAGTATCTCCAAGAAATGGGAACAGCTAGGCTCAGTTTCTGTGTGGGTTGCCTCTCTGGCACTTCCCCTATCAGTTTTATTGTGTCGAGTGTATCTGTTATATGTGGGGGGCGGTGGGGTAGCCTAGTAGTTAAAGCGTTTGCTCGTCATGACGAAGACCCAGGTTCGATTCCCCATTAGCATACAACGTGTGAAACCCATTTCTGGTGTCCTCCGCCGCGATATTGCTGGAATATTGCTAAAAGCTGCGTAAAACTCACTCACTTTTCTATCGAGGGGTTAGAGCCAGAACCACTCAAACCACACAGGTACATGTCGGGAAACAGCACTCAAAAAATAATAATCAATTCTTGTTAACTGTTTTGTGACTAGGTGACAGAGTATGTTGGTGCATTCATGTTGCTTTACAACCATAAATATAATCAGCCTAATTAAATAGGTATGACGAAAATAAACTTACGCTTGTTCTGGCGTAAATGTAAAACACTCTGGGCTCTGTAAACATGAGAGCGAGAACCAGTTAAATTAGAAACACAGTGTATGGCAGTTAACATTATGTTGAGAATATGTCTGTCCCAGAGTCAAGAATCCGGTAAACAGGGGATTGTGGCATAGTTTGCGGATACGATTTCCCTGTGTCGTAGTTTCCACTAACTCGGGGAGCATTATCTATGCTAACAATCTCAAGATCACCCATATCATCACAGCCGCCAACCACTGTTTC